CAGAACTCAGCAACACCAGCCACTCCCACCAGAATGGCTTGAGCGCATCACCAACCCAGAAGAAGAAGCCTTGTGGTCCAAAGGCTGGATACCACTTGAACCACAAGAGCATTTGCAGCAGGACCATCCTTATCAAGGACATGGAGTTTGGAAAGAGCTGCAACCCATCGGCCCAGACCAGTATGCCGGCTTTGCCTTCACACTTGATGCCACTCCCAACCACTACGACACCAGAAGCCAGATCTGGGTTTTCGGCCTTTGCCTGCACACACAAACGATGGGGCAACTGAAGCGCCTCGGCGCCATACCGGGGGCCAGTGGACAGCAAACCAAAGGCAGGGCACTGTTTGCAGGCCTGGTGGCTTTGGCAAAACACACCACAACACCAGCCAAGGTGATTGTGCAGCTCAGCACAGTTGGGAAGCCTGGCAAAAACCACCACACAGGCATCCTTACCCAGACCTGCTCGCAGAGGTCACAGACCAGGACCGCCACCGCATCACCGTCCTGTACATCAGCAAGAATACCAGAACTCCGGATGCCCCTGGAAATGAGCCACAACTCTGCAGGCGACAGCGAGATGCAGCCTTGACTGCATGGGAGCGGGCTGATGCTCTGCATGACCGTCGCCAAACAAACTGGCAGGCAACACCTGACAGAGACCACAAGGCCATCTACCTCCAGGCAGCACAACGACTTGAGAAGATTTTCCAGGACAAACAGCACTACCTCCACACCAAAGCAGACCGGCAACCTGGAAAACACACCAAACAGAGGAAAAAAAGACCTCATCCAGCAGTGCACCAAGCCCTGGCAGGAACCACACCACAGATGGGCACCGCAGAGGAGTGGATATGCCTGCACCACCTGCGGCACACGCATGCACCAGGGTCTCACGGCCCAGCAACTTGAAGACCGCTTGGCTGAAACCTGCACCCAACAGCTGGCAGAAAGTGCATGTCCAGACCCAGGGCAGGAGGCTCCCAAGCCAACAAAAAAGCTGACCCGAGTTCAGATCATCAGGAACCTCCTCCAGGCCCAGGTCAACACGGCCCCAGCTCCAAACCAGCACCATTTTGAGGAAACCAAAGGATACCTCAAATGCACCAAGTGTGGAACCAATGTTCACAAGAGGGTCAATGAACAGGCTTTCAACGACTACATCCAGGGACCATGCCTGGATTGCCCTTTCGATGGCACACACACGGGCCATCCCAGTCACTACCTTTGGCAAAAAGGGCAAAAGATCAGCTGCACACTCTGTGGCCTGCAGCTACCACCACAGGACCCAGGCCAAAAAGGCTCCACTTCTCGACGCCTCTCACGGCCAGAGAAGACGCAGAGAACCCGGCACAGGCCATGACACCCAGCCAAAATGCCGGACACACGCACCTTCGACGAAAAGCAATGCGGCCAAAGTCCGAGCCAACGCAGCGCTCCACTGCCAGCACACCGGAGAATCCCGAAGAAGAAAGCCACACAGACGATGAGGTCTACGACGTGGACTACTTCTAGCGGCGCTGCTAGACGGCCAAAAGGGCCCAGAGATCTGCAGAAGCAAAAGAACCTCTTTAGGAAAAAAATACATACATACATACATACATACATACATACATGTGTAAATATATATATATATATTTATATATACCTATATAAAATCTGTGAAGCTGAATGAACAAAGAAGATGTGATGCTTCTTCTGCTGCGGCCCCTTTGTGACGCAATCCTTCCATCAAACGAGTCTGTGCAAGACGCAGGATCTTCAAATGCCTCTGCCCGCGAAGCTGCCAGAGAACCAAAAAATGAAGTTGATTCCTTGGGGGATAAAGTTGTCGTGTGAGCCTGGCACCATTCGCGGCATGTGGCATAATACTGTCACTGTGCACGGTATCGGCTTCAGTTCCCAAGAAACAACTCATCCCATAGGAGGGTGCATCCCCATGTCAATATCAGCACACCATTGACTAAAACACTAGGTCCAAGCCGATCTTTTGCCAAGGGTGCACCAGTATTGTCCACCCAAGCATGTTCACAAACAAATTGACGTGGCAGGCCTGTCTGGCAGAGAGACTGTTCAAAAACGACAGCCAACCGCCAAAAAAACACCACCAGTCACGGAACAAAATGGCTACGAAAGGTTGTATCGAGCCAAGATTGTAAACATCTTCCTATCCAAACCAAGCAGGGATTTTGCACTCTGCTAAACCGATGCCCTCGAAGCTCCCCTGTTCTCTCCATTCACTTGCACCAGAAGATCGAAGAAAGCAGGCAGCATAGGTCCTGAGCTATACAGAACTTCAGATCAGGAACCTGGCAAAGTATCGAAAGTGTCGCCAAAGGTGTGTACAGCAGCGCGGAGCTGCACTCGACCGATGAGGTCGATCGCCAAAGAAAACTTAGACCAAACATACCACAGCCACTCCTGGCTGACAGCTCCTGCAAAGCAAAGCAAGGCAATGCAGGAGCCTCATAGTGAAAGTGGCTTCCAGCAGAAACAGAGGCGATGGTTGTTCTGCATAGGAAACCTTTGCGCTTTGCGAATTGCGAAAAGACCTGTGATATGCACAGATGTGGGACAAACTTGGTCCCTTTGTCAAAGAACCGGCACAAGCGACCCTGCAAACATGATGGAAGGGATCGGACAAAAGAGAGTCCGACCAAAAGTGGGCCGTAGGAAAGAGAAGAGGTTGACGAAATCAAACCATACATTTGCATGTATCCTCAAAACTGTCGAAGTGGGATATATGTCAAACTCAAGTGACAAAAATCAAAAGGATCAAACCTCTCAACCTCTCGCATAGGCGGCATAGGCATTTTAGACATCAACCCGAAGAGATTGCCCGTGCTCACTCAGCGGGCCGCCACCTGGCAGCAGCTCATCACTGGTGGAGACACGGATGGCACTCTCCACACTGATGACACTCACCTGCCTGCCCAATCAGCTTCACAGAAGTTGCACGAGGATGGCCCTTCTCGCTCAGGGCCAAAGCGAAAGTCACCTTTGAAAAAGCGAAAATTGGAATGGAACAAGGAACGAAAAGGACAGTCAAAGTCTTGGTTACGACTATTGAACCAGGCCTTGTCATTCACCTGCACCCCAGAATCCGAACGAACATGCAAGGCCAGGGTTTGTTGCATGTGAAGCTCATATCGTTTGCCGAAGTCATGTCTGTCTGCGCCTGAATTCCTTCAGGTAGGAGTGCGGAGTCCACAAAAACGTCGCGCTGATAATGAGCCTCGGGCAAACAGCGAGCGAAGTGAGCTACAGTTAAGCAAGCAAGCAAGTTCTTTTCCATGCGAACCACTGGCCTTCGTCTCTTCGCATGAAATGAATCCATACCCATTCTTCGCACCTTGGACTATCTGTTCTGTCTATCTCTGGCATGGCGAGAAGAAGACCCTCCATTCAACTAGTTCAAGCCACCCTGCCAGGCCCTGCCAACACTTCTCTGACAAAGTGCTGATTGATTTCAGGCTGCCCTCATACTCCTGGTTCAGATTTGGCCTTGCCTCTTGAGCGGCCACAGGAGCACCTCAGCAGCTTCTCGGTGGAGGGGTTGGAGGGGATGGAGGGGATGGAGTTCAAAAATTATGGGGTGAGCACTGATGGGGTGAGCAGGTCCAAGGCGGAAAAATGAGGTGAGACATGACCCGGGCATGAGGACACCCAGGCCCAAGCCGCTCGTAAGAATATACGTGTCCCAAGAAAAATGGAGACCTCAGCAAATCCATACAAAAAATAGACAGCTCCCAAACCAAACACAGCCCGGCCCTCTCTGTCTTAAGAAGGACTACATATTATATAACACAGCAAAATTCCGGATGAGGAAACATGTGACCTGAGAGCCGAGAAAGGTGTGAATCACATGCACCAAGAATCAAATTTCAGCCAGCTGGTCTCCCATTGTTTCACTCGTGCACTTGAACGACCTGCATCCCTTCTACTCAGGCGAACGTCCTGATTGAGAAGGACGGGTGACGTCACCAGCGCTGGCACACCAATGTGCCAGACATGTGCTGGGGTCGGTTGGACTGGCGGGCAACGTTGGCCGAACGGGACTGGAGCTGGAGTGCGTGGAAAGTAGCCAGAAGGAGACCCAGAGACCCTCTTGTGAAGGTAAGGAGCCCAACTAGAAGCAGGGCAAATGACAGATCATATGAAGGCAAATGCTCTAAGTGAAGCAAGACCAAATGAAGTACAGTAAAATGAGATCGTACATAAAGCAGGTGAACAAAATGATCTCAGGGACTTGAGAGAAGGGGGGTGGACGAAAGGATGTTCGGTAAAGGGAAATGATCTCATCAAAGAAGAGACCGCGCAAGTGAGGCGGGACAGGGACAAATTACAATGCAGAAAGCCTCAGCAGCGACCGAAACGGAAGGGCGGCCCAAGACTGCCTGAAACAAAGAACTCGGCCACCTGTAACATGTTCTCAACTGGGATCCTGTCTGCAGTCATGCAATTGAAGCAACCCCTATATGCATATACATATACATATACACACATGTAAACACACACATAAATATATATATATATGTGTATTTGTATATATATATATATGTGTGTGTGTGTATGTTTTTATTTATATATGTGTGTAAATATACAACGTGCATTACATTCCGGCAGGGAGCTGGGGGGTGGTGCCGCAGCGGCCAAAGAGACTGTTGGCGGTGGAGCTTGCGCCACATTGTTTGCAGGGATGGATTGGTGCAAGCCCATTTGGCCAAGGCCTAGGAAGAGTCAGCGATCAAAAGAAACCCTCTAGCCAGTGAAACTCAATCAATCCAACTATACAAAATCGAACTGGCATGTCAAGCCACCATACCAGGCCGCCTGAGACTGGATAGCTTGCTGGTGCGCCTGGGCCAGCTGCGCCTGTAGAGCGAGAGCCTGAGCAGCCGCCTGGGGATTTTGGTATCCTTGACTGGCATAGGCGGCCATGGGCGAAACCATCGGATAGGCATAGTTGTATGGAGTCGGGTAGGTCCCTTCAGCCTGCGCATATGGCCAAGCAGGCTGAGGCGGAGCAGGCAATGGAGAAGGAGCGGCTTGCGGAGCAGCACCTTTCATCTTTCCCTTGGCACCACCTTTGCCCTTCCCTTCTGGGCCCTTGCCGTCTTTGCCTTTCCCTTTTGGGCCACTCGGGGCTTGTGCTTCCCGTTCCGCTTTGGTCGTTCCCTGCTGACGGTCCGAAAGCACCACGACCAAGCTCTTGCCCTCCACCTGCTTGTTGTCCATCTGGCTGATGGCCTTCTTGGCTTCTTCCATGCTGGAAAAGGTCACAAAGCCATAGCCACGGCAGGTTCCATCCGTGTTCTTCTTCACGTCCACATTGAGAAGCTCACCAAAGGGCTGGAACATACCCTTGAGCTGGTCAGGGGTGGCCTCTTTGGCCAGGTTGCGAACACAAAGCTGAATTCCTTGAAAGCCTTTGCCCTTTCCTCCTTTGCCTTTTTCTCCTTTGCCCTTTGCTTTGGCAGCACTCTCGGGAGTGATGAGACCAGGCTGCTGCGGAGGACCTGGTTGTTGCACCTTCTTCTTGGGGGCCGCCGCCTTGGGTGCCTGTTTCGCCAGCTGTTTGGCCAAGCTCCCGGAGCTCTGTGCACCTGGAGGCACTGGAGCTTTTGGCTGAGACTTGGTTTCCTTGGGAGATGCCTTCTTGGTATCAGGCATCTTCGAATAGTTTTTCTTCCCTTCACTGTCCTTTGCCTCCTGCTTCTCTGGCTCGCTCTTGGGTGCCTGGACAGCTTCAGCCTTGGGAGGCTCCGTTTTCTCCTCAACCTGACAGAGGGGCATTCACACTCAACATCTTGAGTTGAACAACGGTCACAAATTCCTCGAAAACCACGCACGAACGCGAACACTGTTTTGTGAGCCTTCGTATCCTCTTGAGGTGCATCAGAGGATTGTTGGCCACCCATGCTTGTGAACCCGCCTTATTATGAACAGGAACAGCTACATTCAAAACAAGCAACAAAATCAAGGCCTACGGTTACAGATTTATGGTTAGATACATATATACAACATATGTGATAATGGAAATTATGCCAGCCTACAATAATAACAATTGAAACAACATCAACCATTCCAGTTTCCAACAATTGCAAAATGTTTTTTGGGTCGCTGGTCCGCTGGTCTGCCGAGGGTCGGTATAAAACGAATGCACTCTAAAGGAGCCCGGGACTAGGCCAGGGCACAAACTGCGAGTACAAAAAGCTGCAGGATGCAGGCAATCAAGTGCTGAATTGGATCATCAAAAAGCAAATTCAGACAACAAAGCCAGGAGTCGAAAAAAGAAAAAAAAGAACAGCCTGCAATAGACATTTGACAGCATCAACCTGGCATGCTTGGAAAGGAAAACCTCACAATGCTGACTGGCAAACAACTCCCCCCCAAAAAAAATAGCACGCGACTCACGACCATATCCAATCCCAGCTGGCATTACATGCGTCTGCACCTCATTATCATTGCACCCACTGTCTTGGGATCATCGCACTCAAAATGCCACAGGTTCCTTTCGGCTTTGTCTGGGGCACTGGCTTCCGAACATTGTTCCGACCTCCAGTGATGCCATGCCCAAAAATGTTTGGAATATCCCTGACGGCGCGTGCCAGAACTGAGGCCGCTGCAGTGATGGCGCATCACCATCAGCTTCCCTGAAGGCAAAAAAACATCAAGTGGGCACTGCATCGCTTGGATCATAGAGTCATTCCACGGAAAAGATGTACCGTAGGGAACATCCAAAGCTCTCCCTAGACCCAACGGAACAAAAAATCAACAAACCTATCTTTGGACCCAATCGGCATGTTTCTATCCCAGCACCGGCCTTTGGCTCAACTCCTTGAGCGTACTTTGCAAGGGCCCAAGGCCTGGACAAAGAAAATGACCTCACAGTGTGCCGCAGCCATGGTTGGACACAAGCACCAAAACCAATAAACAACAAAGGACCGGCGCGGCCATCTATATAAGTGAGCGACACTGAGTATGCGGAGCGCTGCTGGTAGAAACCTCACCAAACCAACACTGAATGCAACACCTCCATTGCGCTTTGGATGGTGCTCGGCCCAGCGGCAAAACCACCTGAGGAATTGGCTGTCCCGTTGGAAGTCGGAGGATTCGTTGTGTCATTGGTGGCATTCAATGCCTCACCATGTGCCTCGCAAGCGATGTTGGACCAAACAAACGTAAAGGATCAATTGCCGAGCACCACGCGAACGCGTAAAGCACAAGACTGCACCCAACATATCTGAGCCACATTGCTAACAGAACGCGGTTCCAATTCCAGAAGACGCGCGAACGGATGTGAATGCGATTTGACACCCTTTCAGTTTCGTTCAGCCACGCGTGAAACGCAGGGTTCCCCCGAAAAATAACGAAACCTCGAAAACATGAAATCATACAAAACTCAAAGACATGCTCCACAAGAAGCTGTATAGGCCCCACAGCATCTTCCCCCTCTCTCTCTCTGACATCGTTGCCTTCAATCTCCTCCCGGCTTCCAAGCTCTGGACACGGACCTCGAATCAATTATATAACCCGGCTTGGCAACCCAACAGCAAGTGCAACTTATATACTGCATCTTGCTGCATCACGTGTTTTGCACGGAAACTCGTCGCAGCTAAGTCCTGCTAGGTACACACAAGCCGGTGGCATAGCTGGCATGTTGTTCGCGCAGACACGTCTTTCAAAGTACGCGGAACCACCTGTGGCCTTGCTGAGCATACAACATGTTTGGCGTTGCGACGAGCGACTGCCTTGTAGCACTGGCAGCTGCCTCTGGGAAAAATGCGCATAGAACTCTACAAAATGCAAATGCAAAAGCGGTTGCTGGTGAAGAAATGCGCTGCTAGGTGCACGCAATTGCCTGTGGCATTGCCGCACGACAAATATCATAGGTGCGTTTGCGCCACAGTGGCTACAAGTTCAAAAACTGCCGCCGGCAAAGAGAACGCGCTGCTAGATTGCGTCGTGTCTAATTTCGGGATTGGTGTGCAGAAGGGGGTCTGCGTAACGGAGGCCAAACGCACACCACAAGTGCAAAAACTGTTGCTGGTGCAGAAAGTTTCCCCTGGAGGCAGCGCAACTACCTGTGGCCTTGCTGCGCGTACAACATGTCTGGAGCTGTGACGAGGGATTGGTTCCAGACAGTCGACAAACTGCGCACCACTCAGTCAGCCCAACTTGAGAGGAGGGAGACACGAAAGGTAGGACAGCGGGAAGAGAAGAGAACGCGAGAGGCAGGAACAACAATGCAATGTTCGACATGGTGATTTGTCCCCTCGGAGGCGACCTTCCGTAAATATAACTTCATATGCACTCTAAATGTTCAAACATATGCTCTCGAAATGTTCCCAAAGATTCTTAGGAAAACAAACTTGCCCCATGGCTCAGATCATCGGTGAGCGTTAAATCGGAGCATCACAGGATTTAAATTATCCTGAAACCATAAGAGGCTCACGAAAACGGTCCCCAGGAGAGAATGTGCGTGCTTGACAAAACAAACTCTAGGTATGTATCCCCTCGGGGAACACCTTTCGTGATTAGAATTTCATATGCACTCTTTCTGAATGTTCAAGAGGGTTTCAACTATCCTGAAATCATGAGAGGCTCACGAAGACGTTCTCCAGGAGAGAATTGAATTTAGAAGGGGGGGGGGTCGGTATTGAAAAATCAATTCCCCGGGGGGCGGGGGGGGGGTCTGTATTGAGAAATCAATTCGAAGGGGGGGGGGGTTGAATTGAGCAATCAATTATTCGACCCGGACTCGCCGACACTTGCTTCGCAAAACAAACTCAAAAAGGGCTACCTTTCGTGAACAGCACCCAAGGTTCCACACAGCACCTAGGGTTCCATGACGGAATGCCCGGAGCAGCTGCACACCACTCCCAGCCCCGCAAGTTGAAACTAAACTGCATTCTGGTGTTGGGAATGTAGAAGCATGTATGCCCAATTGGGCGGCCCAGTTCGGGCACAAGCGAACCAAAAGAAAAGCAAATCTACATCCTAGTGTACAAGAACGGCCTCTCACATCCACGTCGAAAAACCGATGCGAAATCTTCCTCAAAACCCTTCCAGACAGCAGAATTTAATGTCAAATTTGGCCTGTCATCGGTGTGACTATACGTAGTGCAAGCATGAAATTTAGAAGTCCAGTCATGCCGAAGATATCCTGCTACACGTGCACCCAGGGGTGTCCATTGTAAAGTTCGTTTGACCCAGTTGTCGGCGAGCAAATTACCAATGTACAATCCGAGCCTCCAATAAAATTCCCAACAACGGCGTGACCATACCTTTACGCCATGCGTGTGCAGATTTTTTCAACTTTCTCGTTCCAAGCATGCAACACTTCATGCCAAAGGCATGACGAATCCAAATTTTTGGACGGACCCACCAGTATACGTAGCAATTTTCGAAACTCGACATCCATGCGGCATAGGCCGGATTGATAAAGAGTGTGGCACGCTGTGCGGGTGTGTGTTATACGTTGTTTTCTTGTGCGTTGTAAAAACTATGTGATTTTCTATTTTTTTAAAGATATTGTTGTTCTCAATGTATGATTTTCATAATTTGTTTATACAAAAACAAGTGTGTATACAAGGACTTGGCTATTGAGTTCAAAGATGATTTTTTCTTCAGATGGTTAGCAGATAAGTCTAACTAACATATTTTGAAGTCGATTGCAATGCTTTGCGTTCCTTTAATAAAGGGTGCTTATCTAAATGCACACACATAGACACACAAACACCAACATATGTATATATATATATATACGCATTATTCTGTAGATACGTGAGTGTGACTTGAAGCATGGGAGGCACAGCAAAAGATTATCAAACGCACGTGTTTCTTTCCAAATTATGTTTATTGTCCAGATGAAACCCTTCAGGCCAATGTGCGAAGGCATACATTGGCAAGATCAAGAACTGGACGCCCATGTGTGAAGACATATACAGGCAAGCCAAAGGAGCGCATTTGAATTAAATAGATCACTTTCTCGAAGCTAAACCATTACAAAGGCTGACAGCCTTCACACAATGACGACGTACAGCATGATTACTGCAGAAAAGAAGCTTGGCCTGGAAGAGTCTAGCTTTCTATTGTGTTCCATCCCCAACTAAGTGAGTGATATTGACCAAGAAGAAGATCTCAGATTTGAAGCTTTAGGGTGTGGAGGGCACCATGGATGTGGTTGGCAGGACCCTCACCTGGAGCTTCAAACACATGTTCAAATGGAAGCACCCCAAAACAGATCAGAAAGGGAAGGACTTGCTGCCAAGTCAATCTGCAAAAATGCAATGAGATTCATCATAATGGCATGCCCTGCAGGTTGCGAGAACAATTCAGTTGAACATGGACTTCCACACCATGGAGCAAAGTATCCATGCATGAGGTGTGTCAATGCGACACTGAAGCAAGTTCATGGAATGATTTTTCACCAAAGGCAAAATGGAGAGGCCCCTGCTACACACCCAAGGAGTTGGCAAAGAACCCTTTGACAAACCATTGGCTTCTCAACATCACAGGGGTGAGCCACTTCACCTTAACTTATGATTTCATGCACTGTGCTGATGCTGGCTTCTCTGCATCTGCAATAGAAAATGTGTTTTATGACAATTGCTACAAGCACCTGGACAAGACCAAAAAGCATGACAAAACGATGAAACCAAACCACCTGGTGAAAAAGTCTGTGCAGAGCTGGGCACACCCCATGGTGTGAAGGTGAAAAGACTGCAAGTCTCCTCCTTCACTGATGTTTTGGCACCCCATCAGCATCCTCCATCTTTGCTGCACAGTGCCATAAAAGCCAAGCAAGTAGTAAAGTTGGTTCCTGTGGCTGCCCAACTTTGCAAGGATTTTTCCTTTGACACACCTTATTGCAAGCATGCTCCATTGCTTGTAGAATTTGGTGGATATCTACAAC